GTCTGCCTACAACATCGAAAGCCACCAACTGAGCCACTGCTGCTGACTCCTTTACCTGAAAACCCATGGGACACTATCGGCATTGACCTCTTCAAACTCGAAGGGAGAGACTACATTGTGGTTGTGGACTACTACTCCAGGTTCCTGGAGGTGGAGCAACTAAAGGGCACTACAACAAAAGACATCGCTCAAGTCTTGGAACCAATCTTCGCACGATTTGGAGCACCAAGAACGGTGCGGACAGACAATGGCCCACAGTTTGCCTCAGCTGAATTCAGGGGCCTAGTGCAAAGTTGGGGGGCAGACCATGTAACCTCAAGTCCATACTACGCCCAGAGCAACGGCGTGGCAGAGCGTGGGGTCCAAACAGCGAAACAACTCCTGAAGAAGTCGGAGGACATAAACCTGGCTCTCCTATCGCACAGAGCTGCGCCAGGAGTCGATGGTTTTTCACCCAGCGGACTGCTAATGGGTCGCCGCCTGAATATGCCTGTGCCAACCACAACCAAGATGCTCGCACCTAAGTGGGACGACGGCGACTTCAGGCGCAGGAATGAAGCGTACAGGGCACGAGTGAAGCAGACCTACAACGTGCGCCACAGAGTGAGAAGTCGTGAACGCCTGCCGCCAAAGACAGTGGTGTGCGCATACTGAGTGGTCCGGCATCCTGCGGTACAGTGACACGGCCAGCAGCCCAACCAAGGTCCTACATTGTAAGCACATCGACAGGACTAACACGACCCACCGGGAGTCACATGCAGCCAACGGCGGTTCCTAGGAGCGGACGACCAAGCAGACCACCGGACAGGTTGGACTTGTAGCTCGGCTCCCTACTCCTAAGAAAGGGGGGTGTCGTGAGTAGCATTGCGAGCGGCCGCCGACTGCAGCGCCGCGACGCGCCTACGCACGGAGTACTCTCGCCTCGGGGGGCCAGCGGACGGGAGAACGGCGCAACCATGAAAAGACACGGCTGTATGTCGCTGACTACACGTATTGCCTTTAACCCGGAATAAACCGTTCTTGTTATACCCGAACAACGGCTACGATAAGTTCGTTGCATGAAGTGCATGTGGCCCTGATTGTGACTCTCCAAAATAACTGTAAAACAGCTGTGTTGGGAGATTTGTGTTTGTCCTTTGTCCCTCTTGTTCCCCTTCTCCAGGGATTATTTTCGTCATTCTTGTCCAGCTTTGCATTTAATTGCATTATAATGTGAAACATAGTTTGCTTTGTTGTTGTGTTTTCTTTTTTTTTGTCTTTGACGTGTATTGGCCAAAAAAAAAACGTTTCGGTGGGAGTGTTTTTTTTCGGGGTGGGAGTGTATGGAGAGGGTGTTTTATTTAAATGGCAAGTTGGAACTGTGTTTAGAATAAAAGGGGAAGAAACACTTTTGTTTAAATTTGAAGGTGGGTGGATGTTTCCTTATCGCGTCGACCTGTAAGGTCCACATTCTTGCATTGTGTGATGGAGACTGGCGCTTGAACTGTACATAGTACTTCGCCCCTTTGTATTGGTTCAGATGACCTTGAGATTTGGACTATATAAGGAGGTAGACTAAATAAACGAGTTAGCTGAGATTGATACGTCGTCTTATCTATTTTCTGGTAAACGGACAAAAGCCCACCGACCAAAAGCTCACCCGTTTCTTCACAGACCCGGACAAAAGCTCACCTAATCTTTTTTTGGCTACCAGGGCGAAACACGGGCTGGGATAAAGTGCGGACCCGATGGACATTGCACCATTTTTAGGAGAACTGGTACCCATCCCAAGCAAAGGTGTCGACACTAAGCCATAACAAGCGGAGAAGCAACGATTTGGGGAAAAAATTTAGGTCACCAAAATTGAGTAGAGCTGGTAAGATCAAGCTTGATTGACTCAAGATATGCCGGAGCACCCTTGTGCCACACCGAAGAAACTTCGTGAATTTAAGTGTTTAACCTGGAGAGCAACCGAAGAAGTGAAGTCAACCTTCGGTGAACTCGCGTTTTCACTGTGTATACGTCACGCTAAACGCGCACATAAAAGTTAAGCAGAATGTCTCTTCATTACTAATGCATGGGTTTTTTTGGGGTTCAGGTTAATATTTAAACGTGAAAACAGCGCAAAAAATTTAACAAAGGACAAGTGAAAAAAGTGCACGGACAAAGCGCTGTTTTCACGTTTGACGATGTTAAACCAACTAGCCCAACTTACCGTCTTGTTGTTCAGGTTAATATTTAAACTGAATGGCTAAGAAAAATATATTGTTTCCTTCATTGTGCGCCGTAAATGTATTTGAAATCATTGATTATCTCAGGGTGATATGAAAGAGAAACTGAAGCAAAACTGGATTAGACAAATCATTGAGCTGCGAATTTTTAAAAAAAAATATATGTTGAAGGAACGGCAGTTGGTCCTTTTGGACAAGTACAAGACAGATGACCACTTTAGAAAGCTGTGCGGCATTTTGGATAGGCTGGCGTTGCTTCCACCACAGATTGTGTTAGAAGGACTCACGTACATCAGGGAAAACTCTACTGGTGACATCGGCGACCTGCTGTACTATTTCATTGCACGTATGTCTTCCGTGCTCCTTCTGCGGTGGCACGCAGAGCAAATTCTCCTCTTTGCCTGACTGTGTCCGATGACGACCGGGGTTTCCCCCGAAATGGTGGAATATGTACGACGCCACTCTTCAGGATCAAGACTGGACGAACAACACCTTCGAAGGATGGAACACCGGGTTCCAGAAGCTCGTCAGCCACGCCCATCCAAGTGTCTGGAGGCTGGTTGAATGCCTACAGCTACATCAGGCGCTCGTTACCACGGCATTGACACAAGCCCGGAGGGGGTGAGCCCCTGTGAAGCGGCTGCCAAAAACCACTCTGCGCCTGCAGAATCGTCTGAAAAATATTTGCGGGGGGGTTCCAGGCAGCGGCATAGACTTTCCATTTTACCGGGGGGGGGGGGGGGGGGGGGGGGGGGCTTTTTCGAGCAAGCTTTTTCCAGATGCGCGCTGGGATTCTATTTCCCATGTATTTTGTCAATAAAGGCAACGTGTGCATTATTTTGTTTACATGTCACTACTAGAAACTCGTATACATGGCACGTAAGCAGCGCCTCGGTAAGGATCCTTGCCCAGGCCCGGAGGGAGGGGGGGGGGGGGGCGGGGGGGGGGGGGGGGGGGGGTCACGAGTTTTGATGCCCTCCCGTAGTCTACGCCTATGGTTCCAGGTACACCGAGAACCCAGACCTACGAAGACAGCTGGAGGCAGTAGGGAACTGCATTCGCTTCTTACCAATCGATAAATGAACTTGTTTCCACTCTAAACAACAAACCATGCGCCTGTCAGACTTAATTTATCGTAGCATTTTAGTGTCGCACGCAAGCACTTAGGTTGTCCGCACTCGTGTTAACACCAACATGCGATTTTCTCGTGGTGAGCATTTGTCTGTGAAAAAGTGGGCGAGCTTTTGTCCGGTGAGCCTTTGTTCGGTGAGATTCTGTCCGGTGAGCTTTTGTCCGGGTTTCCTATTTTCTTTATCTTCTACGTCTTGACGTTTGTTTTCTACTCAAGTCTCAGGTAAATCCAACTCGGTTTCCGGAACTCCAAATGTGCCACCTCCCAGCCCTGGCAATGCACTCAGAAACCTGAGAAGACGTGGCTCGGAATCTACACACAAAGGAAGCAGAGGACACAATTACACACAATGAGCATGATGAAAATGACGATGCGCATGCAGTGACAGTCAGTGTTTGGAAGACACAGCGGGAGAATGTGTGGAGCACCCTTGCAAGTTTGAATTCAAATGCACCTCCGCGATCGGGCCCTACAGTGGCAGATGAGGCTGCCGACTACTTGACGGCCCCCCTCATCCCTCGTTCCCCTTTGGTGTAACACAAGTGCTAACGAAGCCTTCTTTACCCATAGAAAGCTTCCTATACCACCGACGCGAATAAGGAGCGAACGGCTCTTTTCAACTGCCAGAACTGTTGTGAGCTGCAGAAGTGAGCACCTCCTCACCAAACACGTCGAGCTGCTTGTCTTCTCCCCCAAAATCTGTAAACGCTGAAGGCTTGTGGAAATGAACAGTTGAGTGAATGCATTTACTACTGCACTTTATATATAGATAGCAACGAATCAAAGTATTCTCTTCGAAATTATACAACATCTTTCACTACTCGCTTCGAATTCGCTTCAAACTAAAAAAAAAAAACAGCATTCGCACAAGCCTAGAAGCGTTACCAGCAATTGGCGGGTTAAGTCCGTTCCTCGGAGCGTATATAGTTTGGCGCTCCGTTCACAATATGGACAGGAGCATCGCCGGATACTGACACTTGAGCGCGCTCTTGGTGCACCGAGTATTTCTCGGAGCGCGAGTGACTTCTCCGTGGTCCGTAAAGTCACTACACAACAAAAGATGGCTGCGCCGACCAAAAACGTTGACGAGACGAAGAGCGCTCCCCGACTGCTGCCCTTTTTCAGCTGAATAGTGTTCAATTCAGGAGGTAGAAACGATTCGATGTGAAAGCTAAGACCTCAATTAACATTCCGGAAAAGGTTTGTTCATGCATCTCGCCCGAAAACGAATTGACGTGTGCCGCGGTATCGGTGAAGCACATCGAAGGATCCCGTATCGCGCTGCAAGACGGAACCACGTAACATCTGGCAAGTGTGAGATTCTTCCGTTGACAAGCAGGCTCAAGAATGTTGTCTTTCATTTAAATGTGAACAGCATGCATGGTCAATAAATATATAGATCGATCAAGGTAACTTTCCACATATGTGCTCGAAGCTAGTCTTCAAACATTTCGGGAATATTAAAAACGTTCGTGAAACTTTATAACGTCGCCGTCTTTTTTACTTTACACCCTGCCGCTCCACACTGGAATTAATTAATTTATCTCCGAAATAATTTGGGCTTTGCCACATGTCTCCACGAAATGCCAAGTCCGTCATAACCGTGTGGTCGGAAAGAGCTTGTGCGGCTCGTTGATAGTCTCCAGAGAAAGACTTACCCCTTTGCGTACCTTGGGGGACGCCGTCTCCACGGGGGGCAATTCCCCCCGCTTTTTGACAGGCGGCTCTTCCTCCTGGATGAGCCGTGAGGCCTCGCCCCCTTTCTGCTTCCCGCTGCTCCACTTCACGCTGGCGGACGGGCCGGCCCCGCCCCCGTTGCTGCTCGAGCACACCGACTTGAGGGACCGCTTCCTCTTCTCCGTCTGTGGTGTGTTCGAAGACAATTACCCAACTGCGCGCTCTCCGGCCCCCATCTTCATTCGCAGCGCTTTCTCTCTCCCTCTCTCAAGTGCCGTGCCCACAAGGTTTTGCACGGCCACCGCCTCCGCGCTTGCAGCGCCCTCTGGACACCACATCTTTCCCCCCTTTTTAAACTGGAACATACTCAGCGAGTAACTTCCAGCCATTAACAGCAAGTAATAGTTCGTTTAGAAGAGTCTGTCGCATTTTTTTACCACCCTTCTATCAGTTTCCGAGGTTTGCGCTGATCTCGCACGGGATACCCGCCACTCGCATCTGCATCTATAGCAGCGTCTCAGCATCTTGGGTTGTATGGCTGCTTCTTGGTCTTGGGTCTGTGCATGGTGCAGGCAAGGACGCCAGTGGAAGGTAGCTACCACCTACGCTGTCTTCAAATGCGCTGTCTGTCGAAGCCGTGGCAGACACCTTTGTTGCCTCATCTGTACGCTGCACGGAAGGTCCGGAGACTTGTGAAGGTGCTCGAAAAAACTGGTCCTGATGTCTTCGCCACACCTCACCCGGGGAGACTTGCACCTGGAAAGACACTGGACCAGTCTGGGCAGTGACCGTTCCTGGCTGCCAGTTGCGACCACTTCGGCAGTCTCTGAGTGAAAGTCCGCTCTTGACCTGGGTGTCGCCGCTGTTGGCAATAGTGTGCATAGGCCTCACAGTTTTCAACTGATGGTCTCAGAGCTTCAGTTTGCTGCAGACTCCGCTGTACCGTCAACTGGGCCGGGGACTCTCTTGTTGTCGGGTGCAGGCTGTTCCTGTACGACGGAAGAAAACGCGACAACCTTGTTGACAACGAAGCTGTTTTCTGCAGGTAGTTTTTGATGGTCTGAATAAACCGCTCAGCTAATCCATTTGTAGAGGGATGGTATGGTGCCAACGTGACTTGGGCTATAGCGTTGTGCTTTTAGAAAGTCAAATTCCTCAGACACGATCTGGGGCCCGTTGTCAGAAGCCAAAACGTGCAAAGCACTCTTGTGCACACTGAATGATGGCCTTCGACATCGTAGGCTTAAAGATGAACACCTCCGACCATTTGGAGTGAGCATCAATAGGACGAGTAACATTTTTCCCATGAAAGGTGCCGCCAAATCCACATACAGGCTCTCCCATGGACGTGTCGGCCATGTCCAAGGGTGTAGGGAAGCAGCGGACGGGTTGTTTCGGTGCAGCTGACACATGGTACACCTTCTGATTTCCCTTTCAATGTCCTTATCAATCGATGGCCACCTAACATAACTCCTAGCTCTTTCCTTAGAGCGCACAATGCTATAATGACCCCGTGGATTTCTTCTATGAGCCTTTTCTGAAGAGTCTTCGGAACCACCACCCGCAGACCCCACATGAGGCATCCTTGATGGAGTGAAAGCTCATTGCGGCGTACGTGAAAAGGCACAAACTCTGGATCGATTGGCTTGCGTTCTGGATCCCAACCATGCGTTACTCTCACGATTTGACTTAGGAGAGGGTCTCTGGACGTCGCCCGTGCAATGTCTTTTCATTTAAAAGGGACATTGTCGAAGTATTCACAGTAGAAGGCGTACGTGTCGTCGACAGCGTCGATGTTGGGGTCGTCCATTGCTTTTGGCAGTCTTGGCAAGCAATCTGCATTGCCATTTTCCTCGGAAGACCGGTGGACGATGGTGTAGCGGTGTGAGGTTAGCTGACAGGCCCATCTCTGAAGACTCGTTGCTGTCCACCGGGGTCAGAATCCCTGCCTCCTTCAAAGCCATCAGTTCTTTAGAGACTTCTGCTTTCAGGACGTTGGGCACTGGTCTTGTCTTGAAGAACTTTGAAGCGTACCCACTCTTTAGCTTGAGGCGAGCTTCAAACCCCTGAAGACGGCCAAGATCGTTTGAGAACGCCCGAGCAAGGTTCTTCAAAATCCTGCTGACTTGTTCCTTGTTCCCCTTCTCCAAGCACTGGACAGCCCTGATGCTAGCCCAGTCGGGCATCATCACTTCCAGCCAGTCACGTCACAAAAGTGGGGAACTCCGCAATCTGCAGCGGCAACGAGCGCCTCTCCTACCGGCTTCACCTTGTCACCCGTAAATGCTCGAAGAACAACCCCACTTCTTCCCCTGACCATATTAGTGAACCTTTTCCTGCACAAATCAAGCGGGTGTACAGACAACGTTGCCCCGGTGTCTACTTCCATCGTCAGGGGAATCGTGTTCACTTTCACGGTTACTTCCAGCGGCCTCGGACGTGTCCCACGAAGCTCGAACATCTCGACCTCGTCCTTCTCGTCGACTTTTAGCGTCTTGACTTTCTCCCCTTCATTTCTCCGGCTTCGTGGAGGTGCTCCGCGGTGCTGAGAAGCTGCCGGCCGGACTGCTGGCTCTTGCACACGTGTTCGCGTTTTCCGCCCCTGCGAGTCTAAGCTTTTCCACCGGCAGTTAGTTGCTGTATGATTCGTAAGTCCGCACAGCTGGCATTCGGATTTGTCCCGCTCCAGCTTGAGCACATCAGCGTCCGCGCTCGGGCCATGTCAAACCTGTTGTTCGCCAAGACGGCTTCCATTGCCACTGCGATTTCTAGCGCCTTCTTAAACGTCAGGCCAGCCTTCGACATCTGCCGCTTTTGAATGGAATCACTGATGATACCGCACACCATGCGGTCGCGTAAGGCTTCGCTCAAGGTGCCCACATATTTGCGACAACTTTTTCAGTTCAGCTACGAACTCGAAGATACTTTCAGTCTCGTTTTGGTTTCTTTCGTAAAAACGGAAGCGTTCCTTGATTACGAGAGGCTTCAGCGACAGGTGCTCTCGCAATACGGGTACCAGCTCGATGTACGACTTACTAGCTGGGATGTTCGGAGTAACCAAACTTTTCAACAGAGCGTACGTCTTTGCGGCAATGAGGCTTAGGAACGCTGCCACTTGCCTTTCTGCTATGATGTCGCTTGCGACGTCATAGCTCGACGTTGGTTGGCCAGTCTCAGCCCGCTTCGTCGAACGGCTCAATTTGACCGAGGGTCGCCATGGCGTCGCGGCGTCACCGGCGAGTGGTGCGGCGGGAAATCCTTTGACGAGGCACACGTGGCTGAACGCTCGTCGCAAGTTGTGTGTTCGAAGACCTTTATTCAACCGCCCGCTCTCCGGCACCCCTCGGGCCGAGTCAACTCCAAGTGCCGTGCGCACAAGGTTTTGCACGGTCACCGCACCCGCGCTCGCAGCGCCCTCTGGACACCACATCATCTCCTCCAGGATCAGGCAGGCCGCCTGTCGTTCCGGAAACGAGCCGACGTTGTATCATTTGGAAAGTAAGCCGGAGAAGGAAGTTTCGAGCGGAGGTGCGCAGACTTCACTCCCCGAATTCGTGTTGACATTTATGGCGGCGTCCCACCTGACCGTAATTCAAACTTACGATAATCTCACCGTAATTCCAAATTACAGTAACCTAGCCATAATTATAAGATATAAAGACCTCGCCGTAAGTTGGTGTAAAGAAAACCTCGCCGTAAGTCCTTGTTTTGATAACCACACGCTAGGTTAGCGATACAATTAAGCAGACATGTACACGTTAGCCAAAAAAGTAACTATATACCGTTACTCGTTACTTGCTCAAAAAGTAACTAAGTACGTTACTCGTCACCGATTCTCAAAATGAACGCGTGAGTTACCTCAAAAGTAACGAGTTACTTTTCACGTTACTTTGACAACCAAATACACAACTGTTTTCAGCAGTTATGTTTCCCGCTTCATTGCAAATACATCTACGGCGACGCTAAAGAGTCGTTTTACCGACGCGTTCGAAGGAACGGCAGTGTTGTGCTTCAGGAAGAGCTGGTGAATCTGGGATTCCCCTTTCTCTTGCGTTCGCTCTACTTCTAAAGTTCGAAGTTGACAATGGGTTCTTTGCCTTTCCACGTTGGCAACATCCGGGTTTACATTCGATCCGAACTCGTTCTAGAAGGTTCAATTAACGAACCTCATTGTGTCCACTGGGTGAAGGACATTCCCGGCTGTAGAGTTCAGTACAGCAACGTTTATCGCTGGATAAGTCAGTCGAACTGTCCGACTGACGTGCTCAGCGATATACGTTGCAGTTCTGTCATACTGTTTAGTTGTTTTTCGGGTTGCGCTCCATACCGTTCTAGCAATAAAAGCATGCTTAGGTTAGAAGAAAAACAAGGCCCTTTAAGCGGTGTTGCACACGTTACTCCTGCAAAGTAACGAGATACCGTTACTCGTTACTTGGCCTTAAAAGTAACTAAAAACGTTACTCGTTACCGAAAATAGTAATTAGGTAGAAGTAACGCGTTACGTACATGTCTGCAATTAAGGATGTCGCCAACCCAACAATCGTTGAACAGGAGGTCCAACCGGTTCGTCGTCAAACTTACGGGAAAATTTGGCAAAATTCGACTCCGGATCGGTGTTGCCCAGCTTCACACAAAATTCGCAAAATCGAGAGACAAAAGATTACACGGTAGGTTCTACAGCTTAGAGAAATTACTTCTAATGGTTATGCAATTTAAAAGCAAATGTATAGACGCTTTACAGCAGCTGTGCATGGGCGCCGCCATAACTGACCTTCAGTTTTTGTTCCCTCTTATTCCGTTCGCTTCACTTCATCATTACCACAGTAGGACGGGTTATTGCAATTTTAGATGCTACTGTGTTCTTGTGCCCAGCATAGGCCCTTGTGAAGACCCGTCAACGCCCGCTTCAGTGGCTCGGCATCTCGGTAAGACAAGAGAAGGGCAGCTATGGCGGCTCAATCTGGCGCGTGTGTAAAGCGTCTATATTCTTTAAAAGGTTTAGTCAGCTTGTTACCCCCTTTGCCAGGTGACGTCGGCACGTCCTCAGTTCCATTGAATCTGCACAATAGTCAAACTTTAGTTGAACTGAGAATACGAAAGCAAAGAGGAGACAACGACGGACATGTGTACCTTTTTTTTTTTTTTTTTTTTTCTTAGCAACTGTGTCAGCATGCTCGTCAAAATCTTCAGCTGAACTTTGCTTGAAAGGTTTAAGAAATCCGAAACCTGGTGGAACTCGAGCCTTCCCAGGTTCATGACGCAATATCTTAACCGTAAGTATAGCGTTATGGCGACCTAACCGTAATTTAGATTACATCATCCTAGCTGTAAATTGAAGTTCTGCAGTGTTCCCCGTAACATCAACTTAAGGCCCCTTAAAGGTCACGCGCTCGAGACTAATTAGGTCTTGCGATGAGAGAATACACTAGCGCCATCTCTCGGGTGGATGTGCAACACTAGTCTCTGTATTATCTTTCTTTTTTTTTTCGCGCAAAAATTATTATTATTTTTTTTTTATTAGAGAGCTTTTGAAAATGATATAAACAACAATTTCGTATAGATAGTATGTACATCTGATCTCGAAGAATACCTCCAGACCAGGCACGTAGCCAGGAGGGAGGCCCATAAGGCCCGCTCCCCCCCCCCCCCCCCCCCCCTTCCCGAACCAAAATCCTGGCTACGTGCCTGCTCAAGAACTACGCTCTAGGGAAATGTAGTTCAAGGGTCTCCTCATGGGTGGCACCAGCCTGTCAGCGTGTTTTCTCGTCCCAAGAGATATTGTCAAGCTCTAAGGCACGGGGTTCTAAGGGGTCACAAGTCTGTGAAGGAGCCTTGATGGTAAGACCCCGAGAGGAGGGAAAAGGGCGTTCTCACCCGCGGCCGCCAGTCAATCGAACTGTCACTGTCGGTGTCGACCTCCATGAGTTGGTGCTTCCCATGTCCGCAGATCTTGTCCTCCGCTTCTTTGTTGGTGACGCGTTCCACCTGCGGGTGCGCGCGACACGCGTGCCAGCTCAGTTTAGACGGCCCCGAAAACCCGCGGAAGTTGAGGGGGTATCAACTAGTCTTATCCATACTTCGCCTTAAAAGTTCTGCGCCACGTTCCGGGAGTCACAGAGCGCAAGTATGAGACTTCGGGATGTGCTTTTCTTGAGTGAGCGCTCGTTCAGACGGAAAGTTTCGAATGTACAAACTTCCGGTAATGCCGAGTGTCGTCGGGAGTAGGGAGTGGCATAGTTCGCAGATTCATACCTACAATTAGAGACTCACAAAACTTGTGAGCGCACGCCTAGTTAGGGCCTTCCCAGGCAAACACTGACAAGGCGTAACGAGTCAAAGAATGGAGGCAACCCCGGAGAAAACACTTTTCATCTCCAGATGTACATTGCGAAACATATTCCGGGCTAGGAGCCATTCCAAAACACGCTTTGATTTCGAAATGCAGACCCCGAGACAAAAGAATGTTACGGAATCCCTCAAACGTATCTTGCGGCATAAATATCAAATCACGCCAACAGATATACTTTTTTTTTGTGAAAGGCTACTTTTGTTATTGATGGGTCGTATGCAGGCATTTGAAGTGGCACTAAAGTGGTTTCTGAGATAGTCCATTTATCGTCACAACTCAATCTACGGGCTCTAAGCATTCTAAGAAAACACGAAAATTAGATTGATATGCTGAAAAGTAGTGAAAGCGCACAATAAAGACGAATACGAAGACGGAGAGGCATTCGTCTTTATTGTGCGCTTTCACTACTTTTCAACATGCATAACCAACTCGCCTGCATCGCTACGTTCGATTGATATGCATCCGCTTTCCCTATTAAAAACAGGATTCAAGACTGCGACATGTCCGTGTTTCTGCAATTCGGGGCAAAAACCAGCACAAGGCGCCGTTGGACGTGCGACAGTTGGTCGTGACCAATCTCTTCCCGCGTATATCAGTTCATCATCGGTCGACCCCTTCCCCGTACGGAAAGCGATCGCTTGCGATTGGCGGTCGCAAAAGGCAGACTCGAATACAGGAGACTCTGTTTAATTCAAACTCCAGGAAGCCCCAAATTTTCTTTGAACTATCAAATGTTTGAACTATCAAAAATTTATCTAAATATGATGCAACATAAAATTAGCCATTCGTGATATACGTGTCGCCATTCGTATGATGCGAATGGCTACACATACAATGCAGATATTTGTTGACTTCCCCTATACAGGGGCCTACTAATAATAAGCAGGTATGCCACAGATGAAACATTTGTGAAATCAACCCCAGGAATCCGGGACACGCCGCTGCTTACAACTTGCGCCATCTCTTGGCAGTCACATCAGCGCCCCAGCTTAACTCAATGGGCAAAAAAAATTATATTTTTGTAACTCAGTAAAGAACCCACCGATTTTTTTGCACTCGGAGGATTATAATATTGACCTAATAGCCCGCCTATTTTAAAAAATTCAATGCCACACGACCATTATATTTTCTTCCTGAATCAATGAACCGGTTCCCATAGACCCCCATTAAAAAAAGAAACCATGACATTCACTTACCAGGAAGAAAATCTTGGCGCCACAGACACTTGAGGTGAAATACGATTATTTTATTAATCTTAGCTTTAATTGATTCCAGGAGAGCATTTTGAAATTCACGTTCAATTTTGAGTTATCGAGGTCTAAACTTCCGTGATAATCGAGAGCCTGCAATAGCGTGAAAACATGGATCGGCCAGCACGAAGTTCCCGCTCAAAACTTTTTGCCAATATTTACTATTTCAATAGATTAAATATGTATTAATGCGAAAGCATTCCCATGGAGTGAACCCGGGGAAAGACGTCACCTAAAATCCCATTGGGTGCGACGCGTCATGTGGCTCCATAGCAACGGGGTCATCTTTGCCGAGGAGCCAGCCAAACTGCTGGCGGCGCAGTGGTAAGGGGGAGGGGGTGGGGCGGGTATGCGCTGGACCGACGTCAGGCCTAACGTTAGGTACAACGTCACGCTTTGAGGTCTAACGTCGTCAACCGGTACGCGCAGATGTTTGACGTGAGGGTGGGACGCGGGTATGCGCTGGCCTGACGTTAGGTCTAACATTACGCTTTGAAGTCTAACGTCGTCAACCGGTACTTTGAGGTCGTCCTAGACGTCGTCCTCAAGGCATCGTCCTTGAAGTTGTCCTTGAGGTCGTCCCCGACGTCGTCCTCTAGGCGTCGTTCTCGACGTCGTCCTAGACGTCGTCATCTAGGCGTCGTTCTCGACGTCATCCTAGACGTCGTCGTTGAGGTCGTCCTCCGCGTCCTTCTAGATGACGTCCTTGAGGTCGTCCTAGACGTCGTCCTCTAGGCGTCGTTCTCGACGTCATCCTAGACGTCGTCATCTAGGCGTCGTTCTCGACGTCATCCTAGGCGTCGTTCTCAACATCAACCTAGACGTCGTCGTTGAGGTCGTCCTCCGCGTCCTCCTAGATGACGTCCTTGAGGTCGTCCTAGACGTCGTCCTAGATGTCACCCTCGACGTCGTCCTAGAGGTCGTCCCATACGTCTTCCTCAACTTTAATACGTGTAGAAGCATTGCTATACATGCCGAGCTGTGCATTTTCATGCACAGCTCGGTATGTATAGCATCACATTCCAGGAGACAATTTTTCTGTGACTTTTTTAATCGCGTCCCTTGTACAATAAGTCGGCTCTCTTCGCTGTGGCGGCTAAGTCCGAACGAGTTTTTCGGGCAGTTGCGCCTCGCTCAGGAAGCCACACAAATCGTCTGACAAGATTAATTTTTCCCCTATCACGTACCTCTGTATGCCTATTTCTATATTCCGGGAGAGCATTTTGATATCACCTATATTTATTTTTCTATAAATTTTTCAATCTGGTCTCTCGCAACAAACGTCGGCACTGTTCGCTGTGGCGACCAAGTCCGAACGAGTTTTTTGGGCAGTTGCGCCTCGCTCAGGAAGCCACACAAATCGTCTGACAAGATTAATTTTTCCCCTATCACGTACCTCTGTATGCCAATTTCTATATTCCGGGAGAGCATTTTGATATCACTTATATTTATTTTTCTATAAATTTTTCAATCTGGTCTCTCGCAACAAACGTCGGCACTGTTCGCTGTGGCGGCTAAGTCCGAACGAGTTTTTTGGGCAGCTACGCCTCGCTCAGGAAGCCACACAAATCGTCTGACAAGATTAATTTTTCTTCTCTCACGTACCTCTGGATGCCTATTTCTATATTCCGGGAGAGCATTTTGATATCACCTATATTTATATTTCTATAAATTTTTCAATCTGGTCTCTCGCAACAAACGTCGGCACTGTTCGCTGTGGCGACCAAGTCCGAACGAGTTTTTTGGGCAGTTGCGCCTCGCTCAGGAAGCCACACAAATCGTCTGACTAGATTAATTTTTCCCCTATCACGTACCTCTGTATGCCTATTTCTATATTCCGGGAGAGCATTTTGATATCACTTATATTTATTTTTCTATAAATTTGTCAATCTGGTCTCTCGCAACAAACGTCGGCACTGTTCGCTGTGGCGGCTAAGTCCGAACGAGTTTTTTGGGCAGCTACGCCTCGCTCAGGAAGCCACACAAATCGTCTGACAAGATTAATTTTTCTTCTCTCACGTACCTATGTATGCCTATTTCTATATTCCGGGAGAGCATTTTGATATCACCTATATTTATTTTTCTATAAATTTTTCAATCTGGTCTCTCGCAACAAACGTCGGCACTGTTCGCTGTGGCGGCTAAGTCCGAACGAGTTTTTCGGGCAGTTGCGCCTCGCTCAGGAAGCCACACAAATCGTCTGACAAGATTAATTTTTCCCCTATCACGTACCTCTGTATGCCTATTTCTATATTCCGGGAGAGCATTTTGATATCACCTATATTTATTTTTCTATAAATTTTTCAATCTGGTCTCTCGCAACAAACGTCGGCACTGTTCGCTGTGGCGGCTAAGTCCGAACGAGTTTTTTGGGCAGTTGCGCCTCGCTCAGGAAGCCACACAAATCCGCATGAGCTAGATCTGCCGTTTGAGAGGTGGTGATAGTGGCTCACGCTGTACCTGAGAAATTCAGCCTGTGCAACTCAAACACGTGCCGGTACGATGCTCATCCTCATTGGTGGGGACGAACCCAGGATCCCCTGGTTTTTGTAGCCTGATCTTTCTGCTCTCCACATGCCCCGAGCTAGCATGCGCTAGCACACTCGGTTAGGGACTCTCAGAAAACCAGGACTCAAACAGGAAATGTTGCGGGTCCCTCGCCTTCGCTGAAGGTATAAAATATATGGGCGAACTAGCATATAATTATTTATTTATTTGCACCATATAGTATCTCTCTTTCTCTCCCTTGCACAATATTACCAACTGCAGAGCTTACAGATGTTTCTGTGACTATCAGACAACTTAGTCAAATTTCGACACGGGCTTAAAATCATGTGGGTTACCACAATTTCAAGGCTACTTGCAGAGTTTTTGCTGAACCTGGAAACACGATTTGCAAAAACTTGCATATTATACAGTTTGTTACAATATATGGTCAGCAGGGGAAGCTCTAACTCCGGCTCTAGCTCTCTAAGTTTGGTAACGCTTCAACTTACGAAGAATGACAAGCGCGAGGTGGACACGGAGCTTCTCCTGCTGACCTTCTCGGTGTGGTCCAACCATTCGTTGGTACCGTCTCTATCTGTACCACCTAACGACGGCTATTCATCGCGCTCGGCGTGAGTTGATATCACAAGGGCGCCAGGGTGTTTCGCGCCCCAGTAGACTTCTGGTAATGCGCTTATTTGTCCATCTCTAATGCAAAGCGTGCTTTGTGTTCCGAGTTATACCTTTATATGAACGTGCGTACAAGGGTCGTTTGATGAGCTTGGTAAAAAAGCTGGTTAAACGCTTTGTTAGAACAAAAGGTTGATGTCTTTTCTCAACATAGTCCCCATTGAGGACTATCCACTTGACCCAGCGAGTTTCTAAATTTTCTTTCTCTC